TTCCTTGGCTCATAGCCGATGTCAGGAGATTGTTTTAAGGTTTAACATTGAAACATTATCTCAGGGCAATTGTTAGTGGGGGTTCATCCACCATCCAAGAGCTTTGTGGAGACCCATCCCAGGCCTACCCTGTCAGAAGTTATTCGACGAGAACTCTGCCTGTGGGTGAACTTGCAGCCCCTTTGGGGACTGGTGGTGGCCCTGCGCCCATCCATAGCTCAGGTGGCTGCTCTGGGATACAAGCTTCATGGGAATGCAGAGAGAAGGCGGGTGTCACACAGGGGACTAATGACTGACAGCAATTCTGAAGGCAGTGCCTTCAGAAGACTCTGCCTTCTTTGCACATATCCACTTATCAGAAGTGGCAGAGCATAAGCCAAGTTTCTTAAATCAGACTTCCCTTTGCTGCCAGCCGATCGGAAACCACTCTCACGAAGTCTGGGCAGCTTCAGCACGCATTAAGCGGGTCTTACCTTGAACAACACGATGGCGTAGTCGTATATTAAGGCTGGATCCTCTGTCTCCAGCGCCCCCTTGGCGTACCACTCAATGGCCGCCTCTGGGTTCTTGGCCACACCTTGCTGGCCCCAGAAGAGCATCTGGGCCAATCGTTGCTGAAAGACAATAGCAATTTGGAATAATGATATCCCTGTGGTGCTTAATAGAGGAAGGAACCACCTAATTGAGTGCCCTTTCATATTGAGAACCAAGTTTAAGGTACACATATTTTATCTTCAGCTATTAATTGACTTATATCTCCCCTAATCCCCCATTTCCCTAAATATGTTGGAAAATGGGTTCCTTTTGTTCTGTCAACGAAGACATGCCAGAGTAGGGTGGCCCCCATGCCCAATAACCGCCTAGTGATATCTTATCAAAGAACACAGAAGATGCGGAGGTCAGGCACACGGAGACCACAGTCCCCACCTGAACAGCCATTGACAGACAAAGGAACACCAAGCTTGCTGGCAGACAGCAGAAGGGAGGAGAGGCCCATGGCAGAACCGGTAGAGCCTCTGATTTGGACAGAAGTTTCACCTCCAGACCTGAGAGATTACGCAACCCTGTCCTTTAAAGCTCCCCACGGCTGGGTCCTCCACTTTATCCCAGTGCAGTGGTATGACCCTTTCACAGGGGTCGCCCGATCCACAACAATAGCAAAATCACAGTTATGAAGTAGCAACGAAAATAATTTTTCATATAAATCATTTTATTGGGGGCTCGTCCAACTTTTATCACAATCCATACATCCATGTGTCAAGCACATTTGTACATTTGTTGCCATCATCATTCTCAAAATATTTTCTTTTTACTTGAGCCCTTGGTATCAGCTCCTTTTCCCCCCTCCCTTCCCTGCCCATCTTCCTTCATGAACCCTTGATAATTTATAAATTATTATTATTTTTCCATGTCTTATACTGTCCGATGTCTCCCTTCACCCAATTTTCTGTTGTCCGTCCCAGGGAGGGGTTATATGCAGATCATTGTGATCGGTTCCCTGTTTCTACCCCACCTCCCTCTTCCCCTCCTAGTATCTCTACTCTCATTATTGATCCCGAAGGCCTTATCTGTACTGCAACAAAAATAATGTTATGGCTGGGGGGTCACCACAACATGAGGAACTGTATTAAAGGGCCGCAGCCTTAGGAAGGTTGAGAACCACTGTCCTAGTGGAAGACCCTCGATGAGATGTGCTGACACGGTGGCTGCTTCAAGGGGCTCAGGCACAGGAGCTATTGCGAGGACGGCTCAGGACCGAGCAGTGCTTCCTCTGCTGTGTAGAGGGACGCTAGAGGGTGGAGCCAGCTTGGGGACACCTAACTCCACCGCCACCATGGATCGGGTATTTTTGTTATGGCAACTAAGGGCAATGTAGACATCTTCCAAGTGGAAGCCAAAACACTGAAGTTGACCTTGCACGAATGTAAATCTTTAACCGAAGATGGGCATGTTGTGTGTGTGTGTGTGTGTGTGTGTGTGTGTGACATCAGAGATTCAGCTCCAGACCGCTACAATAATGTGATTATCACTATAACACGAGAATTTTCTGTTTTCCCAAAACATATAAAAGTGATATTTATACTAGACCATAGTCTATTAAAAGGAGCCCTGGTGGTGTAGTGGTTACACACTGGGGTGCTAACTACAAGGTCAGTGGTTCAAAACCACCAGCTACTATGCTGGAGAAAGACTACTCCCGTAAAGAATTACAGTCTCGGAAACCCACAGGGGCAGTTCTACCCTGTCCTATGAATTGGGGCTGATTTGATGGCAGTTAATTTGGTTTGGGGGTGGTTTGGGTAGCTTATGAAGTGTGTCGTTTGGTGATGGTGGCAAGTGTCACCGAGTTGGTTCCAATTCTCCGTGACCTTATGCCCAACAGAAGCAAACACTGCCCGGTCCTGTGCCATCCTCAGAACTCTTCGGTTTGAGTCCTTTGTTGCACTCACTCAATTCATCAAGGGTCTTCCTCTATTTCGCCACCCCTCCACTTTACCAAGTACGATGCCCTCTCCAGACGAAGGGTCTCTCTTCATGAGTCCAAAGGACCCGGGACAAAGTGTCACCATTCTTGTTTCTAAGGAGTGTTCAGGCTCTTCTTCTTCTAACATGGATCGGTGTTTTCTTTCCTATGTTTTTAATGGCCTCTTGCTTTCTTCATGTAAGATGTTCTTGCTGTCTTAAGTGTTCAATGCATCAAATCCGTTCTTGCGCTGGTCTCCAGTTTAGGTGGGATATACTCCAGGTCGTATTTTGATGCTCATGGATGGATATTCATTTTCTCCAGACTCACTCTTAACTTCTATATGAGCAACCGACAGACGACTGTTCTCCACAGTTGGCCCCTAGCCTGGGTTGGACTGCTGATACTGAGCTTCTCTTGTTCCTTTCCACAGAGAGAGCCCATTTGATTTTTGTGGATTTCATCTGGCTAGGTCTCCATGTATAGTCACTATTATGTTATTGAAAAAGAAAGTGCTTTGCACTGAAGAAATCATTGATCTGGGAAAATTTATGAGGCAATCATCAGCTTCATTTCTATCACCAAGGCCGTATTTTCCAACTACTGATCCTTCCTCTTTGTTTCCAACTTTCACATTCTAGTCGCCAATAATTAAAATGAACAATGCATCCGGATTGCAAGTTTGATTCATTTCAGACTCAAGAAGTTGGTGGAATCCTTCAGTTCTTTCAACACTGGCTTCAGTGGCTGGCACATAAATGTGAGTAATAGTTGTATTAGCTGGGGATCCTTTTGCGCAAATAGCTATTATCCTATCACAGACAGCACTGTCCTTTAGGACAGATCTTGAAAGGTCCTTTTCCACAATGGACGCAATGCCATTCCTCTTGAACTTGTCATTCCCAACATAGTGAACCATGTGATTCAAAGTGGTCAATACCAGTCCAGTTCAGCTCACTAACGCTAAGATATCGATCTTCATGTGTTCCATTTCATTTCTGACTTCCAGACTTCCAATTTTCCTAGTTTCACGCTTTGAACACTCCACATTCTGATGATTAACGGATGCTTGCAGCTGTTTCTTCTCATTTGGAGTTGTGCGCCATCAATAAAACTGTGTTCACAGCTTAAGGTCAATTGCACTCAGAGCAGGCGGTTCTTCCTCAGTCATAGTTTGAGCGCCTTTC